GGATCCGCATTTCTTTCACCCCATCTCACTGTTTAGCCTGTACAACATAATTTCCTTATTATTTTCCTTATTTCCGCACAGATACGGCTCAGCCACACTCACTTTACTAGTTTGGACCCCCAAACTCACAGACTGCTGTGTTGACCCAAAATCCTTAAATCTGACAGAGGATGTGTGCACCCCAAGCCCCAAAGCCAGACACCGCTGCGCGTGACACGGCTGCACATGGCCACCGATTGTCACATGTGGACACAGAAGCTGTGTAGGGAGGCGGGAGAGGGGGAGGGGCTTCTGCATTGTCACCTGCCACCTGGATCGGTGTTTCCTTGGAATTTTGTCACCATGGGCCAGAGGCTTTCTCCTGAATTCTACCCTGTCAGATGCTTAACCATAGTTCCCCTTCACGTCCTCCCTTCAGCGTCTAGGGGTCAGATAAGAAGGGCCGGGGAAGAAAAACAGAATGAAGAACAGCCCCAGTAATGAGGGAGGCTGTTAATCCTTCACGGGATGATAAGCTCTTTAATGTCTGCCGTTCACCTCCAGCCAGTGACCCAGAAGCTCTGCCCTTGAGCTCCAGACCCAGCCAAGCTGTCAAAGTGTGATATGATATCTGTGCTTCAGATTGGTTTTTATTTTTAACACATTAAACTTAAAAAAGCGGAGGTTGTTAAATTGTCCCGAGTATATAGAGATAGAAATCCAGAAGGGAAGAGTTCAAAGTCACTGAACTTTAAATTGCCACCAGGAATCATCTGATTTCCTTTATCTTCTCCTTTTACTGTTCCGCCAGCTTCAGCTTCTGTGTTAAAGTTCCGATGACTCTATGAGGCAGTCCTGTCCCCAAGGACCGTCTGCACTGTCACAGGCCAGCGGACTCAAGAACCACGCTGACGGCCCCCTCTGCAGCCCACTGCCATCTGGACGACGTCGAAGGGACGGTCACGTACGTAGTCCCCGAGGTCTTCCCCTGAGCTATTTTTTAGCCCCTGAACTCACAACAATCTCCGATTTGTATTTCTGACCGCCGGCAAGCAGCTCCGAGACCTGTGTCCCCAGAGAGCCATACACTGACTGTCCAGACGAAGGGGCCGGGCTTTCCGCCCCTGAGGATTGGGGCGCCCTCCCTGCAGTGGGCTCTGCTGTGGGGTGAGGGGAGGTGTGTGGAGCCTCAGCCTGCGCTGAAGGCCGAGCTGGCGCCGAATTCACAGCCCGTCGCCGTGGCTCTCCCAGGAAGGAAGGGGGGCTCGGCCCCCACACGGGCATGGGTCCATTACAGTGGGCTTATGTCCCGATAAACCCATCATAAATTCAAAATATCGTGGCGTCGAAGCTGGATGGAATCCGCCTTCCCAAGCGGCATTAAAGTGGAACGCGGCAGGCTGGCCCGTGGGTGGGCTGAGGCTGGTCCCAGCCTGCACAGGACATTTCAGGAGCTGCCGATAAGAGCTCAAGGCCACACGCACCCTGGTTCCTGCCTCCCAGCTGACTGTACCCCTGGCTTTAGTCAGTCCGTCCTCTGTAACCTAGTTGTTCAGGGCTCAGACTCTGGAGAAAGATCCCTGCTGGGCTGGGCATCACCGCTCCACCCAGACCGCCTCAGGCCCTCTCAGGCCCTGGCCCTGGCCGCATGTCCACTCTCATGATGGGGGCTGAGCAGGACGTGAGGTCGCCCCGCCCAGTCTCGACAGAGGACTGTCCGCAAGGGACTCGTCGGGGAAAAGATCAAAACTCACGCTGTGGAGTGCGGTTTCTGCTGAGGGCACAGCACTTTCACACCAGTGTAGGGCTGGAAACGCTTATACGCGCCCCTGCCAGCTGGCCATCCTCAGTCCTGCACTTACTGGCCATCCTCCGTCTGGCACTTACTGGCCATCCTCAGGCTGGAAACGCTTATACGCGCCCCTGCCAGCTGGCCATCCTCAGTCCTGCACTTACTGGCCATCCTCCGTCTGGCACTTACTGGCCATCCTCAGTCCTG